CACCACCAAAGGCTTTTAATTGAGAACACCTCCTTGCACTATGGCCAAACACACCACATAACTAACATTTCCCTTGTTGTTGTTGTTGTTGTTGTTGTTGTTGTTGTTGTTGTTGGCCACGACCTCCACCACGGTTTTGATTCCGATTTCCTGAAGGTTTATAAGCAGCATTCGCAGTCACTGGAACAGATGATGAAGACGCTTAAACAAGAGCTTGAAGCTTCAGCTCATAGTTGATTAGCTTCTCGTGAACCTCCATTAACAAAGGCGGAGTGTCACGGCCATGAATCTGATCAACAACTGGCTTGTATTCTTCAGGAAGTCCTCCAAGGAAAAACTCGATATGTTCTTCATGTTCATATGGTTTCCCAAGCACAACAAGATGAGCCAAGCGAGTAGTGAACCCTTGGACATATTTATCAAATGATTTTGTACCTTTCGTCCATTGCTTGATTTGTTCACGGATTTGTTTGATATGTCCCCAGCTAGGTTTCGTATAAATGGACGAGAGAAGTGTAATGCCCGCGTCCCAAATTTTGAAAGGGGGGCAATTTGTTTTAAGGAAAATGATAGCTTGATGAGCTTAAGTGGCCAAACTACTAGCTCAAACAGCTAGAAGGAAAGTTAAACGAGCTAAGAAGCACGATAAGCTAGCTAGGTCAGCTGAGGTGAGTTACACTAGCTGGAGGACTAGCTAGCTCAGCTGCGTGAGTTGACTGATAGCTCAACTGAGCTCGGTGAACTGATTGAGTATTGACCCAGCTGGATGGACTGGGTAGCTGACAGTCGAGCTAGTGGTCTGTGTAGCTAGATAGCCTGTACAGTTGTGATCGGAAGGGGTGCAACTCTCCAAAGGGATGCAACCTTTCGAAAAGGTGCAAGGAATGGGCGTGTCCTTTCATGGAACACCCATTGGCGTCCTATATAAAGGATGGACGCCCACACACTTGAAGATCATCATTATCCATCAAACCTAAGAAGAAAAGGGGGTGCGGCTCGGTGAGTACATGAGACTCGACTGAACTGATAGGCACGCTACCTCTCTATCGACGGTGCGAGGAATCGGTCAGCGGTCTGATCATGGATTGGGCCGACTGAAAGATGGTAGAAGGTTCGACCTTAAGGAAAGAATGATCAATGATAGGGTCGATAGGCGAGATCAACCAATCGTGAGGTTGACGAATCGTTGGTCGTATCGATTGGGTCACTGGATAATCGATGGTTTGATAGGGGGATCAAATCGATCGATGTAATCATTCCATACCAAGTTCGATAAGTCGAAGGAGGGAATTATGGATTATCACCGTGAATCGGTGGGGCTATAAGTCCCCGTCTCTATTGTGTACTAAGCCTATGGGGTTGGTTGGTTATATATATATATAAGGTTTCACTCTCTCTTTATTGCTCCATTTGATATTTATTTTTTTAAAAAATTTAATATTTATTTACCAAAAACACATTTAATCATATACATTAATTCATACTTTGAATCCACACTTTACTACTAAAATGTAACTGAAAATTATATAAATTTTTAAAGACTATTGGTTTTCTTCATTGAATTTCAATTAAACACACTATAAATTATAATAATGACTCATCTAATTTAATTAATTTAAAAATGTAACTTACATCACTTCTTATCCTATAAATAACCATTCTCACATTCTCCTCTATCATATCTCATATCTTCATTATTTTCTTTGTTTTTTTAAAAAAGTTCTTGCATGGGGTGAAAACTCAATTAAGATGTCATTGTAAGAGTTTGATTAAATATTTAATTTAAACTTTTGTTTTCAATTTTATTTATTTTTTGTTTATATGTATTTTTCATTTCTTCATTGTTTTTTTATATTTTTAAATGTAATACATATGTATAATAATATTTTATGGTTATAAGAAAATTATTTTATTGATGGGATTCAACAATATTGAATTCCGACCATTGTACAATATGAAAATCAAGCTAAAGAAATCATCTTCATTCTTTTACTTTGGATGTTTGTTTCTTTCTCACATATTCATGTATATTTATTTTAATTTCAAAAGTATATAATTTTTTAACAAAATAAATTTTTGTTATATAATTATGAAACCAATTTGTAAGACATTATTTTAAGAATAATGATCCTTATATTTAGGGGGAATTTCAAAAATACCCTTTTTCCAATAACACTTTTTAAAAATACCCCTCTTTCTAATTTTATCAAAAAGTAATTATAAAATTTGAAATTTATCAAAAAAATATGTGTAAGCTTATATTTATGGACACAAGTTATCTTTATATGTGTGTAAATTTATAAATACATATTTCATAAATACCTTTTGTAACCTTTTAAAATCATTTAAAAACCTTATAAAAACTTTGTAAACCTTTTAAAATCCTTATAAAAACCTTATAAAACCTTATAAATGCCGTTTAAAACCTCTTACAACCTTATAAATATTTGGATTTAGTCACCCAGTAGTAAAGATGATCTTGATGTACCGTATCAACCATATAAAAGTTTATAATTTTTCATATTAGAAAAGGAGTATTTTTAAAATAGATAGAAAAGAGGGGTATTTTTAAAAAGGGGTACACCAAAAGGGGTATTTCTCAAAAATTCAGTTTGTGATTCAATATTTAATAATATAAAGAACATTATAATTTTTGTTAACATTGAATTTTATACTTGATTTCCTATTTAAAAAACAATTTGATATTCAATTTTCTATCTATTATATATACTAAAAGGATGAAAAATATAATTAAACCTAGAGATATAACTTAAATTAAGAGGAATATAAAAAAACTTTAAAAAATAAGATTATTTTTTGGGAATTTTTAAGGTTTCACTCTCTCCTTATTGGTCCTTTTAGCATTTAATTTTTAATTATAATATTTATTTCTAATTAAACCAAAATTTTAACACATTTAATCATATACTTTAATTCATACTTGAAATCCACACTTTAATACTAAATTGTAACTGAAATTAAATAACTTGTGAATTGACTATTTGTTTCCTCCATTCAATTTTAATTAACACACTATAAATTATAATTATAACTCCTCTAATTTAATTATTTTAGAAATATAAATTACATCATATTTTATCCTATAAATACCCATTCTTACATCCTCCTCCACCATATTTGATACCCTCAATATTTTTTATGTTTTATTTTTAATGTTCTTGCATGGGTTGAAAGATCAATTAAGATATCATTATAAGAGCTTGATTATATATTTGGTTTAAAATTTTGTTTTCAATTCTATTTTTTCTTTGTTTTATGTACTTTTTCATTTCTTTCTTGTTTTCTTATACTGTTAAATGTATAATACATATGTATAATAATTTTTTATGGCTATAAGAAAATTACTTTATCGATGAGATTCGAAAATATCGATTTCCGACCATTATACCATAAGCAAATTAAGTAAAAATAACAATTTTTCATTCTTTTACTTTAGATGTTTGTTTCTTTCTCACATATTCATGTATATTTATTTTATTTTCAAAAGTATGTAATTATTGTAACAAAATAAATAAAAATTATATAATTATCATACCAATTTGTAATACATTAAAATAAATAAAATTTTGTACACAAACAAAGGTAATGTGTATGTATATTTATAAGCTTACACACATATTGGATAAATTTCAACATTTTTAGTGATTGTTTTGATAAATTTTGAAAAAAGAATAAATTTAAAGTGGTATTTGAAAACTGGTATTTTTAAAATTCTCTCAATATCATTTCTATTTTTATCATTAACAATATTATTATTTTTTATCAAAAAATACTCAAAAGTATTGAAGAAAATAACTATCAAAATTGAATAATTGATCAACGAATAAATTCAAGAGATATGAATAAATTCTATTGAATGATTTAAATATCATAAGCATTGAAATTTTTTTGTTCTATTTTTTATAAATATATTAATTAACTTAATATACAACAACCCGCGCATATGCGCGGGACATTACTTAGTGAAGAATAAAAAGGAGAAGAAGAGAAAGGCGGCGAAGAAAAAAATATTAGGTCTCAGAGATATACTGCTCTGATACCATGTAATGAATTGCTCATCTTATTAATGTGAATCATGTACAATATATATAGTGTGAGACAAAGGGCTAACTCTCTCTATTTACAGATATATACTATCCTTATATATATATTTTCCTTATACCACATGCTCGCTGAACTGGGCCGGGCTCGTGGGCTCTTGGGCTCTTGGGAATTCTCTCCTGGCCGAGTATTTTTTGGACCATAGTTAAGCCCAGTGTACAAGGAACTTCCAAAATACTCTGAGAATCGCATCCTCTACTATACTCTGGGAATCGCATCCTCCATCTACTATATAAAAAAGCGCATCCTCTCATTATTTCTCAAGCTCTCAAACAGAAAAACATTCTCAGTTCTAAAATCTCGTCTCTCTTTTGCTTTGGCTAAATAAGTTCTTAGTTTAGTAGTTTTAAAAATATATCGTAGATCACGTTCGCTTGAGTCTATTACCCGTGTGCTAGAGTATTAGTTTGTGATCAGTTGTATTATGAGATTCATAAATTGTGATCGTCGAAAGCACTTACAAATTATTTATTGAATGAAGAAAAAATATATCATATCTTGTCTCTGTAATTTATTTAACGCCTTTGTTATAATTTGTTTTTGATATCGTTTTCTTAAATAAAAATTTGTATCTTTTCTCAATTCAACTTTTGTGCTCCTATAAATAATTCAATGAACTAATATAAACTCTTCCAAATCTTTAATATACAAATTAAAGACTCTTAACTAAAGAGTTTTAGATAACTATCAATGCTTTCATATCCTTTCAACGTATTAGTTTTTTTTTTCTTCTCTCTATCAAAAAGTCAAAAGAAGCTAAAAATAAAGCTACACACCCAATAAAAAGGCGAATATATTTGACATTCTATTCGTCCAGACCAAAAAAAAACGTATTTTGTTATATAACGTCAGAAAAGTTAAATCGATGTTGACCCAAACCAAAAAAAAAAAATTGTATTAGGAAAAACAAAAATAAAATCTCTCCTCTCTCTCGAGATTTTTGCATTTGCGCTGAGCGGAAGAGAGAGAGAGCATGTATTTGACGAGTTTCAGACACCACCGGAGCTAGAAATCGTAAGAAATTTGTAATCTTTTTATCTGTTTCTTCTCACGAATTCCCGACAAATGTGTTTCGATCTGTACAATGTTGTCTGAATTTTTCGATCTGAGCTTTGTTAGGTTTTTTTTCGATGTTTCTCTTTCAGACATAGATTGTTCCTTTAATTTTTTTTTTTAGTTTTGTCCATATCCGTTGTTGCTCTCTTAAATGCAACATTTATTCATCGATTGTTTTGGGTAGATGATTCTTCTCCCTTTGATGGTTTTTAATTTTTCATTGTTATTTTTTAATCTCTTTAGCTAAATCTGCAATTAAAGATGAATTTTTTGTGGGTATATATTGTAAGGTACTGAGCATTTATGTTTATGTATACAATTTTTGTTGTTAAAGTGGTAATGGGGAGAGAACTTATAGACAAACATATGGATAAGAAGACAAATAGTTTGACAGCTAGCTCAACCGGATCTTCGGATGATAATAAAGTCGGTAGTCCTTCGACTATCGAAACCGCGGAGGTTAAGGAATGCACTGAGCAGAACTTGGTTGCTGATGATGGTAATGATGTTCATACTAAGCAACAAGGTGTAACTATTGATACACCTGATGACCAGAAGAAGAAACTAAACTCGTCTTTAGTTAAAACTCGTGCTACCGCGAAAGTAACTGTCCCAAAGCCGTTTTCTTTGTCGGCTGAGAAGCCTAGAAGAGCTGGATTTGATAATCATTCATCCGCGTCGAGAGTTTCGCAGGTAAAAGACGCCGATGGTGTTGTTTAACTTGTTTGTCTTTTTCAGTTTGAAGTGTTAAATGAGACTGAATTAGATTTTTTTTTTGTGTGTTCAGCTAAATTCTCCTTTACCAGCTAGGAGGACAATGGATCACAAGAAGCAACATGATGATGAAGATAGTTTTTCTATTGCTTCCTCGTATCCTTTATGTGAAAGTTAAACGAAAAGGGAAAAATTTGATTTTAATACCTAACCAATATAGGATTTTTATGATCCTTAGCCATATAATAGATGTGCTACATCCGTAAGAAGTTTTAAACCCAAGTTAACAGTTGGAGTTGCTCCAACATTTACTAGCACAGCGAGGCTGGAGAGACGAAGAGAGGTACCGTCTTTTTGGTATTAATAAGGAAAAGTTTTGAGGAAGATGTCGTACTTATTTTTCCTTTTTTGTGTTTTTTTGTGTTCTAATGTCAGCATATTATGGTTTCAGTTTTACCAGAAGTTAGAGGAGAAACAGAAGGCGCTTGAGGCCGAGAAAAGAGAGAACGAGAAAAGGCTCAAGGTAAAAGTTATATCCTAGTCAGTAGATAATGTAACAATCTTGTTTAGATAGTTTCCATGTTAGTTATGAGTTTTATGAGAACAGCATTTTCTTTATGAGGGAGAAAAAATATTTCTTGTACAATTCGTGAGACGAATAATCCTACACGTTAGATTCAATTTAAGGCATATATTTCATTCTTGAGCATTCTTGTTTATAAGTGAATATGTTATTTTATTTAGGAAGAGCAAGAAGCAGTCACTAAGCAACTCAGGAAGAACATGGCTTACAAAGCTAATCCAGTACCAAGTTTCTACCAAGAGGGTCCTCCACCGAAACAACCTTTGAAAAAGGTATGCAACAAAACGGCACTGTCTTCATTTCTTGTTTTTCTCGCCTCTACTTTATATCATTTGTCCAAGAATGAACAAATATTGAATGATGAAACTGAGCATTCGATTTCTTATTCTTGTGATCGGGTTATATGGTGTTATCCTCTTTACCAACATTTAGTTTCACTTTACAGTCACTTTAGCTTTCTTTGAGTTTGATTTTGATCTTGGCAATATCTCCTTATTATAATCATGAACACACATAATGCATGGTAACATTAGCTAAAAGAATTTTCATATTCAGATGTGTCTGATTTTGGTTATATGAGCTCAATATGTGTACATAAGCATTATTTTCTGGTCTTTACTCCTATCATCCTTATCCTCTTTGCGATACATGGAACTATGAACTGGGATGAACTTTATCCTCTCAAATTCACAATATAGAAGAAAACAGAGATTTTAACTTGCTATGATTGTTTGATTTGCAGTTTCCTCTGACTCGGCCCAAATCACCAAACCTTAACCGCAGAAAGAGTTGCAACGACACAGTTAGCTCATCATATCAAGAGGTGAAAGGGAAGCATTGTGCTCGACATCGTCACAGTGCAGGTGTCTACAAGGAAGAAACCAAAGCAAACAATATCCCGAGGACACCAAATAGCAGCAGCAAAGATCATATGAGAAAGTCCACAAAGGAAACACCAAAGTCTGAAGAAGTGCGTGGAAAATTTGCAGGAAAGAACAAGAATCTCTTTGATGGAGAGACAGATGAGAATGAGGTTGGGGTTGTGGAGTGAAGCGCCGTGTAGTTGTAGTTTCGTTTTGACTAACTTGGAGAAGCAACTGCAAGGAGAACATGTTTTAGAGTGAAGAAGCAAGTTTAAAGTTTCAGGTTTTTTTGGTGTTGTTGTCTAATGTTATCTAAGATTTGATTGTTCTGAAAATTTGATTGCTAAATCAGCTGCTCTATATTTCGTTTGATCTTTTCTTATCTGTTTGACAATTAATGTGAAAATGTATATTAAGGTTGTTGTATGGATCTAATATATCCCAACTTAAATTATTATAAACTAGATTAATAGTTGAGCTGAGAAACAAGATTAGTGTTTTTACTTTGTATGTTTTGTTTCATTGTTTATCTGTTTGAGGTTTAAAGCTTCATCTTCACCGGTGACATAATTGTCTGTTCGAAGGATCAAGAAATGAATCAAGCTCGCTTAACAACGATACTGGAACTGCAGAAAAAGCTAAGCAAGTGTAGTATTTTTGTCCAAGGAGTCTGTGAATTTTATGTCAAGATCATTTGGTTCCACCGGTAATAACAATAATAAATTTATAAGACAAAAATATTTATATATAAAACAATCTAAAGTCATTACACATTTTGGTAATTACAATAGATTATATAATAATCCAATAGTGAATTTACTTAATAATAATTTCTCTTGTGCGGATTTCTTATCTTGTTTGAGAGAAATTTTCTTGTACTGTAGAGTATTTCGGTATGTTTTCCTTTGGAAAATTATATATATATATATATATATATATATATATATACTATATTTTATAGCCCGTTGTACACCGCATGACAGTTTTTTTAGTAATTATTTTTTAGAAATGTAGGTTTTATTTTTGTGTTTTTAATAAGTTTTGGTTAATATTTAGATCATATAATTTTAGAAGGATTGTATTTTTTTGTGTGTTTGGTACCGTTTTAGGATTAGTGTAACACCTCTCATTAACTTGTTTGATTTTTTTTTTTTTTTTTTTTTTTTTGTCGTCATTAACTTGTTTGATGTCATATTAAAATATTTTGTATTTTAGTAGACCAACCCGTAAAAAACTATATAATGTTATTTATGTAAACTCTAATCCGTTCCATAACACGATCCGTAAGAATTTAAATTTCTTTTAGCAGATTAAAACTATCCAGAAATTTAAAATTATGGATACTAATTTCTCTTAAAAAGGGGGAATTTCAAAAATACCCCTTTTTAAAAATACCCTATTTTCAAACTTTTTAAAAAAACCCAGTAATAATGTTGAAATTTATCCAAATATGTGTGTAAGCTTATAAATATATACACAAATTACCTTTATATATGTATAAAACTTTATATACCTTTCATAAATAGCGTAAAATAAATTATAAAAACTTTATAAAAACCTTATAAAACTTATAAAAACGATTTAAAACTATTTAAAACATTTTAAAATATTTGTATTGAATCTTCCAGTTGTAGTTATTATATAGAAGTACCTTATAAACTATATAAAACTTAATATTTTTTTATATTTAAAAAGGGGTATTTTTGAAAATGAATAAATAAAGGGAGTATTTTTAAAAAAGAGTACACCAAAAAGGGTATTTCTCAAAAATTCTCTAGAATTATTTAAGCTATGTTTTCGGTACTAATTTAAAGTATGAATTTATTACAAATAAGAACTTCAAGTTTTGATATTTATTCAAATGGTAAAAATTTACTAAAAAAAGGTTACTTCGACAAATGTACTTCCGAATGAATAATAGTGGATATTCTTTTAAAGAAATGTAAAATTTATTAATTAACAAAACAAAAAATACAACAATTGGGAATAATTAAGAGAGCCATTGTCGATATTATTTGGACAAGAAGCAGAACAATACATTCCTAAAATATAATGAAACTCCAGTGATTGCACTAGTTTAAGAAAAAAGCTTAATATATTCTAACAATAATAATGTCATAGAGACTCAACGTGCCAACTCGTTTAATTTAGTAGTAGCTGTAGCTCACACTAATGCTAATTACTAAAGTCAAAAGTATATACAATTTTTAGGAAAGTTATTTATTTATATTTGTTGGTTAATCTTTCTTTCAACATTTTACTAATTATAGTTTTGACTTTTTGACTGAAGAAATAAATTAAAAAAAAAAACATTAATTAAAATGAGTGTGTTACACCTTCTCATCTCTCTCCATCGACCCTTAAATTTCTCTGCAAGTTTAAGAGCTAATCTCCTCCAGCATCGCACGGATCTCTTATACTTTTTCTCATTCTTTCTCAATTGTATCATATATAGTTTTTTTTTTTATGTTATACACATGTATAATAAATACTATCTCACTTTCTTGAATCAAACAGTTTTGTTCAAGAAATAGTATTTGTGAGAATTTGATCATAGTTTGAAAGAAAGAAAGATCAAAAACGATGGAGTCCATAACTCTTGATATAGAGCTGTTGCAGTTGCCCGAGACATCGCAAATGTCGATGAAATCTAATCAAGATTTTGTTAAGAAGCTCTTTGATCAATGGCTTGCCCTTCCTGAAACCAATCGCTTGGTAAATGTTTTCTTTGACTTTTTTTTTCTTGGATTATATGATAATGTGTGACTCCTTATTTGCGAGTTTTGAATCTGGATGGTGACACAATGACGATACTAGCAAGAATCACTTGTATAATATATGATTTTGGAGATATGAGAAAAAATGTATTTTTGAACTTGAATAGTGACATCCCCTTGATTATGGCTTTAAAGTTTGTTGGATGATATATGATTTTTTTTCTTGTATATGCGGTTTTTCGAAACGGGATGGTGACATTGACAGTAGTACAAACTATTATGAAATAATTGGATATGGAATTAAGGAATGTTGGTATGATGATTATAGGTTACATCATTGGTAAATGATGCAAAAGCAGGAGTGGCTTTGAATGTTATGAGTGGAGGAGGCTCTTCGGGGTCGGGGTCTAATAGTCCATTGGCTTCGATGTTTCCGGCACGTAATGGGCCTCCTCTTTCTCCAAGGAACTCCACTGGTTCGCCTCGGATTACTAGACAAAGGACTGGACTTTCAAATCTTAGCTCTCCTCTCAAAGTAGTTTCCGACCATGTTAAAGAACTCATTCCACAGGTCTATTTTCCGATTCTCACTAAGTTTTATTATCTTCTCTGCAACTTTTTTTGTGCTAATGTTATTCTAATATGAATTTTGTAATGTATAGTTTTACTTTGAAGATGGTCGTCCAACACCAAATGATATAAAAGAGCATTGTATAACTAAGATCAATAGTCTTTTTTATGGCCATGAGGATGGTTTGAAAATCCAAGGTTAGTGTTAGTTTCTCTTTTAGATATTTTTACATCTTAATTATATCTATCTAGTGACTAACAATTTTAATTCATTGGTTTCTCAGAGTTTAAATTAGTCACTACTGAGATCTGCAAGGTTCCATCATTTTTTTCCACCTCCATTTTCAAGAAAGTTGATACCAATAACACTGGTTTTGTGAAAAGGTTTGCAATCTTTACCATTTTTTTTAAATTCCATGACTAGCTACAATGTTTGAATATAGAAAAAAATGGTATAAGAATGTATAATATTTATAAATAAAAAAATGATTTTAGTCATCACATGTGGTTTTACCAACTTCTTTACAGAGAAGCCTTCATTGATTATTGGGTTAAGGGAAACATGTTGACAAAGGAGATAACAAGGCAGATATTTACAATACTGAAGCAACCAGATCACAAGTACCTTGTCCAGGTGGGTTTTATGAACTGCACTAAATTGTCCTTTGGCCACATAATTAGATGATTTAGTTATCTCCTTTCTTTATTAAATGAAATGTATTCAAGAATTCTAAACTTCTTGAGATATGTATGACAGGATGATTTCAAGCCTGTGCTTCAAGAACTGTTGGCAACACATCCTGGTCTTGAATTCTTACAAGGAACTCCTGAGTTTCAAGAGAGATATGGTTAGTCCAAGAACCTGAAGTGAAACCATTTGTTTTAATTCGTTTTTATTCTTTTGCCAATTGATAAAGTTTCTGAAGAAGTGATTAATGTTAAGTTGAATATATGATTCATTGTATTTTTTTGGCAACAGCTGAAACTGTAATATACAGAATATATTACTACATAAATAGGAGTGGGAATGGGCATCTTACTTTGAGAGAGCTTAAGCGAGGAAATTTAATTGATGCAATGCAATATGCTGATGAAGAAGAGGACATCAATAAGGTGTTAAGGTTGGTGATTTAAGATTAAGTACTAGTATAGAAATTGGTGTGTTTATTAACGCCTTCTATTAAGACTCTATATCGTTTATTAGGTACTTCTCCTATGAACATTTCTATGTCATATACTGCAAGTTCTGGGAGCTAGATACCGACCATGATTTCTTGATCGATAAAGAGAATCTCATCCGATATAGTAATCATGCACTCACCTATAGGATTGTCGACCGGATATTTTCTCAGGTTCGGTACTCTACATTTGCTTTTTTCTTCCTTTTTTTTCTTTTATTTAACTAAGCAGGTATAATGTCATTGCGACTACGTCTACTTATGTAGGTACCGAGGAAGTTTACTAGTAAAACCGAAGGAAAGATGGGTTATGAGGATTTTGTTTACTTCATATTAGCCGAAGAAGACAAGTCATCAGAACCTAGCCTTGAGTATTGGTGAGAATGATAAAAATATTTTCATATATGTTATTTGGTAAAAACTCGGTTATGTTATTAATGTGTGATTATATAGGTTCAAGTGCATAGATTTGGATGCCAATGGAGTTTTGACGCGGAACGAGCTGCAATTCTTTTACGAAGAGCAGCTGCATAGAATGGAATGCATGGCGCAAGAGGCAGTGCTATTTGAAGATATCCTTTGCCAATTATTTGACATGGTCAAACCAGAGGATGAAGGGTTCATTTGCCTGAATGACTTGAAGGGTTCTAAACTTTCTGGAAATGTGTTCAACATACTCTTCAATCTCAACAAGTTTATGGCGTTTGAAACTCGCGATCCGTTCCTCATCCGCCAGGTATTACATTGATATATTCAAGAAAACTTAGTTAGCCTATATACTTGTAGACATATTCATTGTGCTATGTTTGATTTATGGTATACATAGGAGCGGGCAAATCCAACATGGACGGAGTGGGATCGTTTTGCTCATAGAGAATATATTAGACTATCAATGGAAGAAGATGTTGAAGATGCTTCTAATGGAAGTGCTGAAGCATGGGATGATTCACTTGAAGTCCCCTTTTGAGATTTTTATGGTTAGCTCACAGTTTGGTTTTTGGTTCAGAATATTTGG